AAAGAAAGAAGGCGTAACTTTTATTCTTGCTGTAGTATTGTTGTGGTGAAGGCGTGAAGGCGCTTTTTGTTTCATTGTGAAAGCGAAACTACTTTGTTTGGTCTTCCAAAAGAGGACGATATCGCTTCGTCATGCCTGGAGCTGATCCGTGCTGATCGCTGAGGAAATACTTCAAGTTCGCGCTGTGGATCACCGGATCAGCTTTCACCGTGGACGAAGCGGAGTTCAGCCCGGGGTCGTCACATGTGGTTGCCGCAGGCATCACAGTATGGTGAGGGGCGTAACATTTCCGTCACACGCTTGAGGTATTCAGCCAATCACAACGCACTGGATAGCTGACCAATCAGAGCACACCTCGCTTTTCAGATCGATGAGCTTTGTAAAAAATCGACTCGTTTCAGAAAGGCGGGGCATAGAGGAGAAACAATAATGTACAGTATGTGGAAAACAATGTGTTTTTTGAACCTTAAACCGCATAAACACATTTCATTACACCAAATATACAAAATAATGTTCTTTTTAGCAGCACCATATGACCCCTTTAATCAGCGTCATTATCTTTTTGGAATCTGTCAAACTTATTATTTCTCTTTTTTTGGAAACTTTTTTGAGGGATGGTAAAGTATAAATCAACTTCTCATTCTGAAAACCAGAACGTCCCAGTGAAGGTTTAAGGATGTGCAGATCTGATGACCATGGAATGAATTTGACTTCATCCTGGGGTTTATGAAATCACTCTTCAATTTGTTTAGGGGCGTCATCATTCTGGAATATGGGAACATTATAAGGGAACAATGTTGCATTATGTTGCACAATAGAACTGCCTCATTCCATGGTCATTCCAAAACCATACAGACAAGCAATCATTGGATCAGATGACAAGCAAAATAGCTGTGTATACCTCACCATGCCTCATAGCTGGTAACAGACAGGGTTGAAGGCATCCTTTGTCTTCATATGGTAACTGGATGTAGGAAATATGAAGGATGACTTATTATTTAGTTCTCACACCAGATTATGTGTCTCTTAAACACATGCAGAATCTGAATGAGAGGTTTATTTTGTATGTATGCACAATTTGTTTTTGTCTACAAATCTAATTGCAAGCAATTCAGCATAAACCCTCATATTGAGCTCATGAGAGGAATAAATTCAGTCAAGTGTGTCCAAACTTTTGACGGGTGCTGTAATACGATTCATCTCTGCTGCTGCATTTCTAATTATAATTATACTTCAAAATTAACCTCCTTTCCTATGGTGTTCTGCTATTTTTGTCCACCCTCTATGACTCAGAAATAGATTCCATTTAATAAACCAAAGTAGGTCACCCACTTTAATACAGAACTGCTTTATCTATAAATGCTCTGTTTGTTGTAGTTAGCTGACTTTGGCTTGTCCAACCGCTACACGAGAGGCCAGTGTCTGGACACGTTCTGCGGGAGCCCACTGTACGCATCTCCAGAGATTATCAATGGACTTCCTTACCACGGACCTGAGGTGAGATCTCCTGCCTTAACAGTTACTCTGATTGCTCATCTTCGTGAAAGTACACTTAAGCATGCTTTTAAAAAGAGTACTTATTGTGCAAATAATGTAATATACTTGTGTGAGCTGAATGTAATGTTTTGACTCTTGAATGCATGTTAATTGCAATTAAATTAAAATGTATTATAGTTTAAAAGTATATTCAATTCATTTAGCTGAGTGCTTTCTGACCCACTTAAGTGGGGCTTAAGTACATCTTTATATGTAATTTCATAATTACTTCTATTGTCTTTGTAATATGGTTAAAGGTTACTGCTGAATGAACTAACACAATTCTAGGTCATGTATTTAGATATATTCGTAATTAAATGTTTGTAATGAAGTTGCAATTTAGTACACTTACATTCATTTTACATGTATCATATAACACACGACAGTTATAATTAAAATCATGTGCTTTAGTATGTTAGTCAACATGTCAAAATAAGTCTACTTTCTTAAAGCATGACAAAAGATGATTAAAATGTGGTTTAAAATGTACTTTAAAGTAAAACTTTTAATTTGACATTATTAAAAAGTAAACATTTAAAGGGACAGTTCACCCAAAAATTAAGATTCTGTCATCTTTTATTCACCCTCATGTTGATCCAAACCTTTATGACTTTCTTTTATTCTTTGGAACATAAAAGAAGGTATTTCGAAGATTGTTGGCAAAGGGTTTTGGGTCCTATTGACTTTCATATTATGAGCAAAAATACTATGGAAAGTCAGTGGGAACCGAAAACCTTTGGTTACTAATATTCTTCAAAATATCATTCCACAAAAGAAAGAAAGTTATACAGGTTATTAATATTATATTATCTGCAAGTAAATTGATTGAGAGTACACTACAAGTGCACACTGAATACAATTAGGCATTCTTATTTTTCACAATACCCTTTAATCATTTAAAGGGATAGTTCACCCAAAAATGAAAATTCTGTCATCATTTACTCACCCTCATGTCTTTCCAAACCTGTATGAGTTGCTTTCTTATGTTGAACACAAAAGAAGATATTTTGAAGATTGCTGGTAATCAAACAGTTGGTGGTTGCCATTGACTTCCATAGTATTTTTTTTCCTACTATGGAAGTCAGTGGCAACCACCAACTGTTTGATCACCAGCAATCTTCAAAATATCTTCTACAGGTTTGGAACGACATGAGGGTGAGTAAATGATGACAGAATTTTCATTTTTGGGTGAACTATCCCTTTAAATCCCAATGTTTGTACGGTAAATACATCTTAAACAATGCTTCTTCTGCTCCTTTTATATGCCAGGTGGACTGCTGGTCTCTGGGTGTGCTGTTATATGCTCTCGTTTATGGCTCCATGCCTTTCGATAGCACAACTTACAGCGTCCTTAAAGAGCAGATCCGCCACGGACGATATAAAACCCCTGATGTCCTGTCAGGTGAGATTCACACACTCTCATATATCTGCCCATCAAAGTAACATCATGAGTGAGGATTTCCCATGATTCCTTCAATTCTTCCTACAGAGGCCCGTTCATTGATCGGATGGATGCTCACAGTGAAAACAGAAGACAGAGCCACTGTGGAAGACATCGCTAACCACTGGTGGCTAAACCTAAACTGTCCCAAAGCTGAAGAGATTCAACCGTGTGCCTCCACTCTACCCAGAAAGAAACATAAGGAAAGAACATTGACCTCAAACAGCAGCTTCGTTCTGCTGTCGCCTCTTGAATCGTCTTCCCACAACCAGCCCACGAAGGGCATCCTGAAGAATCTCTACAGTCGGGTTGAGTACACAGACAGGTCTGGGGCTGCTGGAAACGGTACGGCAGCGAATAGCGAGGACGTGGAAAGAATCGGGACAGATGACAGGAGGAAGAGGAAGGGCATTCTTAAATGTAACGGCAAGTTCTCCGGGGTTTCTCCAATCACGTCGGCTCCTACGTGGTCACATGGTTTCGGCAAAACTAGCCAGGAGTGTGACGGAGGTGAGCAGCAGGAGATGGAGTTTGAGATCAAGATCTCCCTGTGGAAAACACACCAGTCTACAGGCCTACACTTTCCACAGAATAGCTATTTTGATCATGTACGATGATTGTAAATGCATTGAATTTAATAACAAAGAACATAGGTAACACTTTACAGTTCAATTAGTTAACATGAGTGCATGAACAATCTTATGTAGCATTTATTAATCTAGGTTAGTGTTACTGTATTGTTATTTAATTTGAAAATATGAAAATAAAAGTTATTTATTGTATTTATTTAATATATATATATATATTTATTTATATAAATATACTATTGGTCATTGTTAATTTACGTTTGTTTGCAATGTTATACAACGATTAAAATATATATTAGAAATATGTAGAAATGAACATAAACCTAGATCAATAAACGCTGTATGAGTACTGTAAAATAATAAGAATGAATTAAAAATGATTGCCATAAACACTTCAAAAGTACATTTTTAAATAAAAACTGAAATACTTTTATTCTGCAAGGATGCATTAAATTGATCAAAAGTGACAGTAAGTACATTTATAATGTTGCAGATAAATTCTATTTAAAGTAAATGTTCTTTTTAAACTTTTTATTCATCAAAATGTATCAATGATAAGTGTAAAAATGTAACTATGTTAATAATAAATATTTCTTGAGCAGCAAATCGGCATATACTGATTTCTGAAGGATCATGTGACACTGAAGACTGGAGTAATGATGCTGAAAATTCAGCTTTGATCACAGGAATAAATCACATTTTACAATATATTCAAATAGAAAACAGTGATTTTAAATTGTAAAAATATTACACAATATTTCTGTTTTTACAGACTAAACAAATACAGCCTTGGTGAGCAAAAGAGTCTTCGTGCAGCACAAAGCTGCATCATTTGACCTGTAACACCAATCATGGTGAACAGAACATGTTCTATTGAATAACTCATAACAATAATCATCTGGAAATACCTGTGACATTAGAGCTGCTAAGATAATGTGCACTGTGAAATTGCTAATAACCCAGGTCAATTCGTTTATTTGCCTCAAAGGAAGTTAAAGCAGCTCTGAATCCGCTAATCCCAGCCCAAAAGAATAGAGGCTTTGTCCGGAGCTAGTCTTGCCATTCTCACTTTATGCTGGCATAGAAAATGGGCAAGAGTTTGAGGGCACGTTCATACAAACTTTTGCTCTCTGGCTCTCATTTGCTCTCTCACGTGAAGAGAATATACACTTTTTAGACTGATTAGCATTACAGTAGAATTAGTATTAAAATCTCAGTTAAGCAGCGCTGTTTGGTCTTGTGTGGCCTATTAAGTGGATCGTTTTTATTCTTTATTCCCTTCATCGTTTGACTGAATGAATGAGGGGATATGTGCAGTTTGTAAAATGCTTACCTCATTTAAATTCATTTTTTTGAGGAGTACCAAATGAAAACGCTTTGATAAAAAGATCGTACTGAACGCCAACACTTTTGTCATCTAAAACGTTTTTAATAAAAAGAGTGGAAAAAATCCACACATATTTAGAAAACATTTAATCTCTCCAAAGTTAAATTACAAACATAATCTACATCTTTACACACCGTTGACAGCGAGAAAGTCCGTTCAAGAGTTGTCAGAGAAGACTTGACCCATGACAGCCAGTTTGGCACTGAAGGGCTGTGTGGGGCACGAGAGCACCCGAGCTTTCCTCCTCTCTCCCGGCTTCAGTGCAATGCTCTCTCGTGAGCCGCCGGCACCTGGTGTCTCCTCTGATTGGTCCGTCGCAGGCCTGAGTGGTTCTGAGAGGCTGATGAGTATGTCCTGTAGCTCCCTGCGCTCGCTCTGGTATCGGCTGCAGCAGTGGAGCGCGGCGGGGTCGAGCGGATGAGCCTCTGTGTTAAACACGTAGCCGCCCGCGCTGAGTATGCAGTCTCCCTGCAGGCCGCCCAGCTCGAACTCTGTGCCCGAGTTATGAAGGAAGTTTTCAGGATCGAAGAGGAGGTAGAGGTATTTAATGGTCTCGGCCAAGAAGAAGGACTCCATGCGGTTGTCCAACTTGTGGTCCCTTACATCCTTCACCTTTGGCAGAAACAAAAAGATGAGCATGTTTAGGGACTGTGCAGGTTTCAGCCTTAATATCACTCAAGTTTTCAGATGCATTTTGAAACGTAACCCTGTAACTCGCAGTGTCTCAAGCTTATAAAGTCGCCGCATTGATTCTGAGAAATAACTTTTTCATTGTTGACTGAATGTGCAAACATTTCAAAGTTTTGCATGTTACCACGTTATTTCTTTCCTTTTTTATTCATTAAAAAATTAGGATTTGGAGAAATGCAGCATTACATCAGTTGCTCACCAGTGGATCCTCTGCAGTGAATGGGTGCCGTCAGAATGAGAGTCCAAACAGCTGATAAAAACATCACAATAATCCACAACACTTCAGTCTAAAATAAAAGTCTTAATGATGAATTTGTTTATCACAAACATGCAGCTTTTCACTTCACAAGCCGTTAATTGATGCACTGGAGTGGTGTGGATTACTGTGATGTTTTTATCAGCTGTTTGGACTCTCATTCTGACGGCACCCATTCACTGCAGAGCATCCACTGGTGAGCAACTGATGTAATGTTAAATTTCTCCAAATTTGTTCAGATGAAGAAACTAACTCATCTATATCTTGGATGGCCTGGGAGAGAGTAGATTTTCAAATTTAGGTAGACTCGTTTTGAAATGTAACGAGTGAAATCTTTTAGTTACAGTGTTATACTTACAGTGGCAAAGCCACAGTTCACCCGGCTGATTTTGTCAATCGACTCGACTGCATCCCGGCCAAGCTGCATGAATGTAGGGTCACCGGTGGCCTTATACAGATACATGGCGCTCTCAATCAACTCTGTACAACACAAACACACACTGAGTGGTTACTTCAGTTTCATTCATATAAATCAAAAACCAAAACAAAACAGATTTTACATTATCTGAAAAAAAATGTGATGGGTGCCCATTCGAAATTTGCTGCCCACGCCCATTATTTGCCAAGTGCTTGCTAATGTGTTATGAGGGGTTGTTAGAGCATTGCTAGAGTGTGGCTGTTTGGGTTGCTGTGGTGTTTTAAAGGGTTGTGTTCTAAATGGAATGAGCAATAGTAACAGTGGTGCTTGCTAAAAGCTGGAAAACTCAGAAAATCAGAACAGATTTTTAAACAGTAAGCAACATATATTTGACAACTTTGTAAATGGTTATGAAGGAAAGACAGGGCATCATACATTGACGTTAAGAAAATGTGCCCATTTTTTGGTAAATCTGTCAAATCTGCAGACTGGTTCAGATTTTCAGCAACTTGCATCGGCTCATCCAGGCTGTAATTCAGGGCAAATGTTGTGTAGTGTATGCCAGCCCTAAAGCAATATAATCCTTATAATGCATAAAAAATATTTTTGTGGTCAGTTTTGACAGAACATAAGCTTATAAAATAGTCATAATATTTTTCAACAAAAACACACGGTTTCTGATGAATGACTTCTCAATGAGAGAAAAGGTTTTGCATTACTACACTTACTTTTTTGAATAAAAAAAACACAAAATACATTTTTGAAGTTAAAATTTAAAATTACACATGAACTACGGCAAAACAAGTGTGATGCAAGAAAGCATATGTATTATTATGTGAGAATTTTTATTTAAATATATTGTTATATAAAATGTATATGAACATATAATATGAGAGTTAGCAGTACTAACTCCTCTGAAATCAACATGATCTTTCATTTGGCACAAAAAAAGTCAAAATGTATGAAACCTCTATTCTCTCAAACCAAACAAGATCAAAACAACATGCATTGTTTTAGAGTTTTCACTAAATATATTTATTTTACTTGCATAAACTTTCACTTCTTTGATGAAAAAGATGATCAAATTTTCATGCTGCAGTAATTTATTAAAAGGTGGCAGCAGAGCAAAATGTGGACTTAACATTTTTCCAACCCCCTTTTTTTATTTTTTAGTAGTTTATTTGATATGGTTATTTATTACGTCACATTTATTGTCTGTTTATAGTGTGTTTATTCATGAATATTCATGAGAGAAACTCTATAACTCTTGAAATATTTCAGTTTGTGTGCAATGAATCTAGAATACAAGAAAGTTTGCTTTTTTTTTTATTAAATCACAAAAAATAAAGACCTTTTCCATGATATTCTAATTTTTTTAGATGCACCTGTTTAAATGGTTATATCTCTTACAAAATCTAAAAAAAAAAAATTAAATGATATGTATTATATCTTTACATTTTCAAAGCTGGGTTCCCATACTAAATGTGTTTTTAGAAATTACCCAAAAGTGTTCTAAGGCTCTAAATCAAAGTGTTCTATAGATACCTGGGCGCAGAGGGTATCCCTCTCGTTTGTCCACGGTGTAACCTTGAGGAATGCTGTAGAACTCCGGGAGTCCTCCAAACTGACGCCACACACTGTAGTAGTTATGGAAGGTCTTTGTGGCACTGGAAATATCACCTATCAAACTCTGATAAACACATGTACATCTCAGATGCATACAGTATATAGATAACAAAGACTTAAAGCTAGTCCCTTTCCCTTTGTCTTGTGACACACTGGACTAGAGTTTGGAGACAGATCTGCTTCCTCACCTGCAGTCCAGGCCAGAACGCCTCCAGAGACTGAAACACAGGCATTGATACTGTTCCCTTATGCATCTGCACCCACAGATACCAATCATCAAACTTAGTGTAGTTCTTTATGGACTTATCAAATTCTGCAACACACATTCGAAAGTTGATAATGTTTTCACACAGGCAAGATAAAGAAAGATAAACAGCAATTAGTGGAAATTATGATTAGTTATTCTTATCCAAACTAATAGCAATTGTAACACAGCTGCAGTTATTGCTTTACTGATATGTCAGTGTTTACCGTGAAACATTGCCAGTAGCTCCTCATCTTGCAGCATGATGGCCCCCTTTACCAGATACTCGAAGTACGAGTCCACTCCCGCCCCGATCCCTGCGTCCTGAGCCACCCACTTAGAGGTTATGACATCTATATGGTTGCCCACCTGAAAAAATGAGAAGGTTATGTGATAACATGAACACTGAGGGCCAGATTTATCTTTTTCCATATTTGACATCTAATAAATTGTTTTGAACTCCAACTG